GACAGTCCATGGGCGTCTCCCGTTGTCCTTGTTGCGAAGAAAGATGGTTCTGTGCGGTTCTGTGTAGACCACAGACTGGCTCAATAAGATCACTCGCAAGGATGTCTACCCACTGCCACACATCGACGACGCAATCGACAGCCTTCACGGAGCCCAATTTTTTTCTTCTTTCAATCTGCGCTCGGGGTACTGGCAAGTACCCCTGGCTGATGACGCTCGACCGAAGACTGCCTTCATCACACCCGACGGCTTGTACGAATTCAACGTCATGCCGTTTGGTCTGTGTAATGCACCTGTGACATTTGAGCGCATGATGGACACCGTTCTACTCAACTTGAAATGGCACATGTGCTTGTGTTACCTCGATGACATTGTTGTCTTCGCTCCAGATCTCCCCGGCACCTCCACCAACTTGTTATGGCGTTTATTAGCTGACACACAGCGAGTATACACAATGGCGACAGTAATGGCCAAGCACGGACTCTCCGCGCAAGCGGCGTTCTTTTTGGGTAGACCCACTAGAAAGCACTTGAGAGTTCGACCCATTTCAGTGTTCGGGGGCTTCTCTACAAAACAAAGAAAATTCAAAATATACATTTTGTATATAAATGACCCAGGAATAGTATAAAAATAATAAATGTTGTACAAAAATGTTTCTCTTCATATAGACAAAGAAAATAAGAATCGGGGTGCTGCTTCGTTGCTCGTTCCATGCGATGAAGCATTGCATGTTTTTTTTTTGTGAGACAATAGTGTACTTGTACACTTTTTCTCAGTAAATTTTTGTTGTGTTGCGATAAGAGTCTCCTGGTGCTCCAATAGAGGTAGATGGATGCCCGTAATGTGAATAATCCCCCTATAAACGAGATGCCCAATGAACTTCGCTATTTCGTCTAGCGTTACCTCTTTCCATGACCCACCTTACAGCGCATAGGTTGGCGTTCCAATATGTGCATCCAAGCATAATTTTTTATTTTCACGCATATCATAATGAAAAAAAGGAAAACATCGCCGCAGTTCTGAAACGTTTTTGCACTGCTCCGTGGTCAGGGCCAAGATGTGCTCCCAGGGCCTTCTAGTTTTAGGAGGAGCTCTACAGCCAGCACCAGCGCACTGCGCCCCAGCGAAGTGTAGACCACGCACGTACCAGAGTAGCTATAAGATTGTGCGCAAAAGTCAGCAACTATACGCACTTGCGGCAGAGGAAACTACTTGAGGATGTAAACAAAACAAACCCATAAATGGCTGTGGATGTATCAGGCTGACGCAGAACATCTGCACCATAAAATTTGAAGCTGAGGTGCTGTCATCCTCGAACGCTAAGCTCGTTGTAACTCAATTCAGGGGTGAGGTTGCAAGACAGTTTCGAGCAGCGCATGTGTTTTTCAGCACTGATGCACACCCATGAGCACGTGATGACGACATCATAGGAGTTACTAGTGACACTAGATGTGTCCCTGTGTCTGATATAAAGATGCAAGCAAAACGAAAGCTGCTAGAAACTGTTATAGAAGGTCACCTCAACACTTTGAACACGCGGCGGACCTTCGGAAATATTTTTTGTAGAACAAATTTTTTCTGACTCCTAGGAACAGCTTTCTATGGAATATATGGCATAAATGTCTGGCTATCATTACTGCTCAACATAGTCAAATTGCAAAGCTGACACTTTAATTCGATGTTTGGCTTCCAAAGGTTCTTTTCATTACAGAACTTCGATGTTACTGTACCATAATCACGAGTTGCACACACTTTTGTCAAGTTCACCAGCCTAGTGCACTTTTCTAACAATACACGCATATTGGTTCCCACAAAGGTCTGTCAAAAATCACTGTGTTGCCAAAACGGGCAAATTCAAATAGATTATGAAAGTTCAATGCATGGATTAATTACTAGAAAGTGCTGTGTGCACGAGAAACAAATTTAACGTGCCGAAATCGACGATCCCATAGCGTCAATCACCAGTGATCGATTTGAACAGGTATGGTAGCGAAAGAGTTTAGCTGCGCCCTGTTGTATTGTAAGATATTTAGCGCAACCTTGGCTCTCACAAACGATCACACATCCACCCGAGTAACACACATGACATTCAGCGTGTGTGTGTTACTCGGGTGGATGTGTGAGTGTATGAGAAATAAAATATGAGGAATTACCAACTAGCCCCAAAAACAAGTTTTATTGAGCGTCCTGTTGCAGTTACGTGATACCGGGTCCAAAAGAAGCACTTTGACATATGTCAAGAGCACTAGTGGTTGTGCCATTTTGAAGGTGCACGCACTCATTCCATGCGTAGAAGGCTTGCTGCATGCACTGTGTTTGTTATTCGTACAGAGGCTTGGATTAGTAGAAGCCCTGAGAACATCTTTTACCTGCCGGTGCATGTACAGTACGAACAGTGCAAATGAATAGGCTTCTAAAATGGTGCAACATCCTTGCAATCAACACTCAGTGCATACCCCCTATGTGGCTGCTCGAGGAGGCGAAGCACTTTTCGCACAGTCTGCTTGTGTTGAAATTACAATACGTAAAACAGCATTCAAGCCGTCTGTAATACCTGCCGAAATAGTGACACTTCCAGCGATCGTGACCTCGCTTTTAATGTGAAAGATCACAGTTGCTGCTCCAGAGCCACAACGAACACCCTGCCCCCTTGCATTTATTCATGCTCCTTGAAGACGGGTGAGGCGTCCCTCTCAGCTTAAGTAGAAATCGACATCAGGCTTGGCACATGGGGTGATGTTATCACATGTGCCCCCTGTGCAACTGTCATAGGTCGGCTCCTTTTATGTCATAGGACGGCTCCTTTCATGTTAACTAAAAGCCTACTGCGGGTCTCTGTGTCCAATCGGAGTCTTTTGTCTCTCATTGCCCGTTAGCAGCAATTCGCATGTTCCAGTAGGAAACACCGTTCTATTACTGCGTGTTTTGTGCCTCCCCAGGATTCTGCGCAATGCCATGATTAGCGCCAGCGTCAATTTCGCGGCCAGTGTAAGTGTTAGCTAGGGCCTGCTGCTTCGGGTCTAAACATGGTTCCCTTTAGTGGGAAATGGTTAGTCTATTTTTCTTTTCATTTTTGCACTGCTTCCTAGAGGATATTGAAGGCCAAACCTCATAAGCGCGAAAATGCACGCGACAGCGACAAGCGACGCGACGTAGATCGGCTTCGCGCGATCAGTCGCTAATGCAGGCAAACCTCATTCACGCGACGGGTTCGGCGAGCGAATTCCACTGTTGCTGGCATGAGGCCGTCTACTCGCACCAAGAAAACCGCGTAGCGAGCGGTATGCAATTTAAAAATAAGATATATTGTTGTGTAATGAAACGGAAAGTGTTTATTATTGCCTTGCAGCACTTTTTTATATGCACATGCGTAATGAACATTGCATTATTTTTTGTTGCGCATACGTGACTCGGGCAGGGTCACGTGCACCTATGTAGTCTTTGTCTTTTCCGGTATTTCGCTATTGGCTGCTTGAGCCCAGCACTTCCGGGCGATGAGCGATGGTTTCCAAATCTGGAGAACCGAGCGATCGCGCGAAAACGAGCACGCGACACGTCGCGCGAACGCCCTGTTTCGTCACTCGTCGCTGTCGCGTGCATTTTCACGCTTATGAGGTTTGGCCGTGAAGGTTTTTGGTGTGCAAACAGAAGGCCCTAGCTATATAAAACTTGTTGCAAAAGGGAAAACGAAGTTAAATCATGTAGTCCCAGCACAGAGAAACCTGAAGAGATGGAAGTGTTGGGAGAGGTTGACTTTATGGGGCTAGCTAAGTGATGTCATGTTACACCGAGCAATACGATCGAGAGTGTTTAAAAAGAACCCCTATTTTTTTTTGGAATCTTCTTGGGAGAATACATTTGAGACAGTGTGAGTCTCTAGTGTTGTACACCACACCGTTTGTCTACCACGTCTGCTAATAACCACATAGGTGTACATAGAATGTTATTTCATGAAATACAATCTTATTGAATCAGTATTCTGTTCATTTGCTACGAAAGTAATGGCTGATAAAGTTGGATGCTGTGTGCACGAGGGGGGAAGGGGGCAGCTGCCCCTTCTAGTTACCTAAGCTGGGGTAAGGGGGTGCGTGAAACCTGCCCGATGCATTAAAAAAATGGGGTCACGGGCACTGCAGAGAACTCTGGCCTGCCCTGCGCATGCCTGTGCTCAACAGTAATGTGCATCAAGTGAAATAGGGAGTTCTCTTAAGATTACTGGCTCCATGAGATTTGCAAAGAATCGAAATATTTTCAGCTCTTCATAAGAGCCCCAAAATAATTCTGTTTGGCTTTGAATATAAATGCAACTCGATTTTGCAGTGTAATCTGGGATGTGAAGTTAGCTGTTCTGGGGTGCTCCCAGATTTAAAACTATGTGCTTTAAAGTGCTCCAGAATGAAAAACTTTCCTACTCCAAAGTGCTCCGAAATGAAAATATTTCTGCTTCGAAAATCGCTCTGAAGCAGAAGACCTTGTTAGCATCACTGAGTTGGAGCTTAGCTGGACGATGCCTCATAGCTCACGTTATAAAAGAAATTTGAAATTGTGGCATGCAAAGAGGACAAGACTTCTCCTGAAAAGTTTAGATGTAGTGACACTTCATCTCTTCAATGCTTCCCCTGAACCTTACCTGCTATGTGTGTTTTATATATGTGTGACCTGGCGCAGTGCTGCACATGTATGAGATTTGTCATCATCTGCGCTCAAAAAAGTTACTGAAATGGGGACAGACATAAATTCTGGGAAGGTGTTTACCTCAATGAGAATGTCATGAGAATGAGTGAGTTTACATGCAAGTTCCCTATATTGGGATGATAACAGTAATATACTAAACATTCAGTCCTCGGGTTGACAAGGATTCTTCGCGGTTTTTTAATCGCTTGTTGTTGTTCTTTTTGATTGCACAGTATACTTGTTTTACAGTGAAGTAGCAGCAATATTCTGCTCTACCCTCAGTGCTTGAAATCGTGGTGCTTGCTGTCTTCTGTGCGCAAATGCAGTATGCCCTGGGCCCGTTGTGGAGTAGCATTCGTGCCCTCTCAGCCCACCACCCAGTCATGGCATCTATGCTGTTGCCCAGTCTGGCGACTCTGTGTGTGAGGCAACCGCAGGCTCTTCCTCTGCTGCTGCAAATGCTGGAGGATTCACCTGCAGATACGGCTGACTACAGCCTGGCTCTAGCCAAGGCACAAGCCATCGATGTTCTCCTTCAGCACAGGTGCTCTCGTGGTTACTATTATCAGTGAACTGTCGTTAGTCTGATTTCATTAGATTAAGTTAGTGTCAAATAATTGACGGTACAATGGAGTTTCTTTAAAATAAAGCTGCACAGTGGTGGATCTGCTTCATGATGACAAATTCGGGGTCACTAACCGATGAAGATAGCAATTGGAACTGCGTCGCATTGTTCCGGTTGTCTGCGAATGCAGTCTACGGTTTTTGCATTGTACGTTTGTGATGCTTTGCACTTGGTGCTATCCAGGAATCATCCAAATTAACTGGGTTGTGGTCAATTTAGCGAGAGCCTCATGCTATCAACCAATATATAATAAATTACTCAAAGAACCACGTTTTTCTATTCCCCACTTTTGCTCCATAGAAGCACATGTATTTGCGACCTCTATGTAACAAAGTAATAGGAGGAGACAACCTTGACATAATGAACTTTCTGCACAAGCAATCTGGCATTTTTGAATTTTGGTACGAGCATGCATCTTTCGCATGTACCCCGCCACCGACGAAGCGCGAAGCGGTGGCGGTGCGCATGAGGGTTTGTTATTGCACATGGGTGAGCGCTAGGTGGCAGGCGGGCCTGCGCCCCAGGAGCCGGAGTTGCCGCCATTCTTGCTGCCACGGAAGCATGCTCAGGTGTGCCTGCCCTCCTCCAAACAAAAAGAAAATACTTTTGCTGTTGGCAGTGCAGCGCTTTTATTGGCATCACATATGTGAGGCGGCGCTGCATATAGAGGGCTCTTTACTGAATAGTTTTCCGTGGTATCCGTGTCTGTGTCTAAATCGTTTGCTCTTTGTTTTCGACGCCGTGCACACGTGCGTGGTTTCACTGTGCGCGCATGATGTGGCTCTGAATGAAGGCTACCGTCCTCGGATAAACACATAAGCTAAATAGCAGCACTTTATTCTGACTAGAAAACTCCAGAAGGATTCTGCAGTCCCACATTTCCTCTAGCTATTTAGTGAAGGAAAACCTTGACTCAGGCAATCGGCGTCACTGTTCTTTTTGCCTTTGTGGTATTTCAGATCAAAGTTGTACTCCTGCAAGTCTGAACTCCAACGCAGGAGCCTCCCATTTTTGGATGGCACACTACGCAGCCTTGTTAAAGGACAATGATCTGTCTGGACCACGAAATAGGATTCAGCCAGATAGTTGTGTAGTTTCTGGATTGACCATACGAGGCATGCGCAGTCTTATTCTGACACACTGTACATCTGCTCACGATGCTGACAAATACCATAGGGTGTTCGCTCCCATCAGCGTCGTTTTGACTGAGCACGGCCCCCATTTATCGATCACTAGCATCACACTGCAGCACAAACGGGCGCTCAAAATCGGGTGCCTTCAGCACATGTGACTGGATAAAGCAGATTTCAGGGCCAGAAATGCACGTGCTTTCTTTTCGCTTCACTGCACTTTCATGGGTTTGTTTTTTTTCTAGCCATCTCAGAGTGGGCTAGCAATCTCCAAAAAGTTGTCTATGTACTGCTGGTGCTACCCATTCAATCCAAGAAAAGAACGAACGTCAGTTTTACTTGTAGGTCTGGCGTAATAAGCTGTTGCTGCAATTTTAACCTCTAGTGGACGCTGGCAACCTTGACCAACCTTATGGCCAAGGTAGCTGACCTCGCCCCTTGCTAACCGTCATTTCTCTACCTAAATGGTCAGTCCCGCCATATTCAAGCGCGTTAATACTTGGTGCAAATGCAAGATGGGCTCCTCCCAGCTACTAGAAAAAATCGTATTATCATCAAAATATGACAAGGCGTATTCCTGCATTTCTTCGAGAATGTGATCCATCAGTCTAGAGAAACAAAATGGTGCATTCTTCAGCCTAAAGTCAAAGACTAAGGACGGAAAGTTCCAAAAGGAGAAATAAACGCAGCATAGTGACTTGCCCGTTCACTGTGCAGAACCTGCCAGTTGTCTCTGGTCAGGACGAGTGTCGATATATGCCTTGCATGGCTTATGGATTCTGTTCTTTCCTTTAGGTTAGGGATCGGGTAGATTTGGTCCTGAGTTACTGCAATTAACTGGCCATAATCAATGTCAGTCTAGGCTTTTTACCTGGAGCTTCCACGAAAAATATTGGTGAGGTGTACTCGCTATCCGCTGAAACAACCCAACCGAGCTCCTGCATGCGTTTAATTTCGCTTTCCAAGATTTATTCACAAATCACAAGACATCTGTCATTGTAGTAATCAGGGATGCGCGTCTACATATATTTGCCTATCAACAAGTCAATTTCGTACGGAGCTTGCAAAGCATTTCTACTTCGGCTTCAGCGTTCTCCTGGCAAGAAAAGTTGCGCGAGGCAATGTTCAGCGCCGACACTCTCTAAAGACGTCGACAACAACGACTGCGCCTCCGCTTCACAGCCGCAGCGTGGCCAGCACGTGACGAGAAAGGAGGAGCGTCTCCAAGCGAAGAAAAGCAGATCGGCATTTGAGGGAGAACCAACTCTCCATGGCAGCTTTTTTTTTTTTGCTCTCTTTGCACTCGTCGTTGTGAGGAGAACGGTCTACGTGGCAGGGACGGAAAAGGGGGAAGTGTGGCACCAACACTTGAGAGAGAGTCAACACTCCGTGAGAGCTCCCTTTTTTTCCCTCTCTCTCTTCGTGCACGGCGTTGAAAGGAGAAGCGCCTTTATGTGGCAGGGGGGAAAAGGGAAAAGCGGGGCACAGGCGATTGAGATCAGCATTGGAGAGAGAGCAAACATTTCACCGCAGTCTTTTTTTTCGCCTTCACTCTTCACGTGCAGCGTTGAGGTGTCGGAGGTGCCGCTACGGGATTGGCCATGGTGCTGAGAGAATTGTCAGAGCGCGGTATGTTCAAATTAACCGTTGCAAGTGCTTGCGCGTTCGAATTACAGGGCATTTTCGCCCGTTGGAATACACATAGCTTCGACAAGACGTTAGCTTGAGTTCGAATTAACCGGAAGTTTGAATTAAATTTGACTGTAGTATTGTGAGTTGGCTGCATGGTTAATTACTTGGAAAAAATTGAAGTCTAATGAGAGGTTTATGAGCTTTGTTGCATTGTGCCAAGAAGACGACAATTGAGACCAATCTATTTGCGGAAAGTTAAAGCCACCGACCTGGTAAATGATGTCAGCAGGGTATTTGCGGACGGCCAAAATAGTGGAACTCCAGAGTTCGTCAACGAAAGAACTATTGGCATCTGGGGGGACAGTAGGAGACACCAACCAGTTTCTTCGCTGTTGATGTAGTAGAGGTGGCCCACACTATTTCAATGCAAGAGTGTATTCACCAGAAACAAAGCTAATTATATTTTTATAGCTATAAGAACACCACCACCATTTTTAGTGGTGCGGTCATGTCTAAATAAGCTATATTTATTTGGATTGGCAAAGATTTCTTTGTCCATTACATCAGAATGCAGTCATGTTTCCGTGAGTGCAATGGTATCGCTAACAGCATCTTCCAAGAAGGAATACAGATTATGACGCTTAGGAAGAAGGCTTCAAATATCAGTAAAGAGTAATGATTGAGAACTATTGCGGCTAAGTCTATGTAATGCCCAAGCTTTATTTTTCTGGTCTAGCTATCTAGAGATGCTATAACAGAGTCTGTTGTTCTATCAAACTCATACACTTGTTTATCTATCTGGAGTTTATCAAAAGCCAGCTTGCTTCTTTTATCCAGCATCCTGTCAAATTCAAGCGGCTTTTGCCTTCCTAATCTGGTTGCAGCAGAAAAGTCTTCTCTAATATAAGTCAAGCCTTTGAGCTCATGTGTAGATGCAAGAATTCGCTGCTTATCTTTGAAGAATTTAAGTGTGAGGACAATTGGTCTGTTTTATTCGCGGCAAATTTTTCTAGTTGAACTCCCTTAAGCTGGCTCTCAGTGATAATAACGCTCATCTGTTGGGAGCAGAAGGTAATAATTTTCTGCTCGGAATCATCCCATGTTTCTTTCTCATCATCCTTGAGCTCAAAGAAAAGCAACTTCGACCGGCACAACTTGTTCTCAGTGTTGTCACATATTTCTGTAACTTTATTTAGTTTTGCATCTAGGTACACAAGGAAGGATCAAAGGCACTGAAATTAAGTATACTATACTACTAAGCGACACTTTGGTTTCTTCCAGCGCCGAGACACGACCAGCCAGCTGCATAATTGCCATATCTGTAGCATGTTACTTTTCTTTGATGCTCTTCAGCTCATTATGTGTTACTGTTTGACTGGACTTGAGCCTACGTATTGTGTCTAGTACCAATGAAAGCACACCCTCCCGTGTTGTTTGCCCAGGGTAAGACCAGGATCTGTATTTATGTCTCTCACCATTATTAGTAGCTAGGACAAAGCAGTGGAACAACATCGCAACACTGAACAAATCAAGCGCTTCATCGCAGTACCGTGCTTTGGTGGTCATGACACCGCATACAAAAAACAGTAGTCTGTACCTTTAAGACCAACAGCACCATCTAGGTAACTAACAAACCTGCACAATTGGGACAAGTAAAGAATGCATGTATGATGTGCTGTTATGACCAAATCAGCCGGTTGCTCGGTAGCTTTTATGTCCTGGGCCAGCTGTGATGTGGATCATTAATGAAAAGCTTTGTAGCCAGAGAGAAGCACTGATGACTCCCTGTATTAGTGTAGCTGGTGATCAAGGTCATGACCATGCTCCTGCTGGGCCAGCACACTGCACCGCAAAAGAGAGCACCCTGCACAATAAGCACGGGCAGATGATTCATGTCTGATGCGATGAAAAAGCATTCCAGTGGAATGAAATACAGTAAAATCTCGTTATTTTGAAGCCACTAAAATCGTAACAAATCCTCCAATCAAGTGGGTTTTCTAATTAACAGAACATACAAAAAGTGGGATGCAAGGAACTTGAAAATATTCAAATTAATTGGGGCTGATAGTTTGCTGTGCTGACTAGTTTGTTGCTCCAAGGGTTATGTTTTTCAGCAATACCTGGTCACACTTCTGCCGCAAACAAGGAAGAATTCCA